TTCAACCTGATGCCCTTGCATCTTTAAGCATGGGCTTGCAAGTAACACTGAAATTAGCTACTAAAAACTGAATGAATTTAAAGGCCCTCTCTTGATTGTACGTGTTTTTATGGAACCAGGCTGCCGGCAGAGTAAGAAGGCCAGAATCAGCAGATCTCAGATTAAGACTTTATTTTAATCCTCGCAGATTAAAATAATTTGTGCAATAACCTGGAGATGATTCAGAGCCTGAAGTCCATTCTAAATCTGGGCCTCAGGTTCAAGTCTGGGTCACGTCACTAACCGACAGCCCTGATTCCCCAGGTTTCAGTGCACAATTTGCTCAGGGCCTTCAAGGGCACAGTGGGATTAAGTGGCCAGGTCTTTCTCATTGCATGCAAGACTGTGCTGCTGCTGGTGAGGGTACCCATCTCTCCTCCAAGTGACACTGAACCTCCAATTCAGTGCCGAGGTGTCAAGTGTTAAAAGGTGACAGGCACGCCGGTGGGTGGATTGGAGGAGCCTGACTACACTTCTTCATTCTCCCCTGTGTCCTGTCACAGGGTGCGTAGCTGTGGACCGAGATGTAAAAAAGCACACAAATGTCTGTTCCATATCAGGTGGGTATCACTAGCATAATTGAGGGAAGAACCAGTGATCCTTAGGTAATTTACCATGCTGTCCTATAGGATGCTGGGATTTATATTATCAAAAGCTGAAGGATTAGGTGATATAGTGCAATGATAAAACATTTAGAACCCACTAGCAAATCATTAACTGCCTTAACAGTGGTCACTTCTGTGGTCTGCGTCTGTTTAAACTCTGAAAGAAATGTTTCCAAGAGTTTATTAAACGCCATTTGAGTTTATAATTGAGCTGTTTCTGGACCTGGTGGCCTTGGTCAGGACTTTGTTTTTAACACAGGTGTGATAGCAGCAGACCTTACGCCTGCATGAATAAGATCAGAAGTCAGGGACTCGCTGGTGACATCAGTAAAAAATCAACAGAATGGCTGCAGTCAGGAGGGGTTCATTTTAGGTATCAGACCAGTCGCAGAGTTAAATGCGAGAAGGTCAAAACCAGGAAATCAACAGAGGGAGTGGTTGTCATCGTTCGTTGCGGAATCTGAGATCATCGGCTACAGTGTGGTTACCAATATCATGGATTTTGTTGTGAGAGAAGTGCATGAATGTGTTGCACTGTTCAGTAAAGTAGACAGTAGAATTACTGTCCTAAAACTGAAAGAGGATCTAGTCTCTTTAAAGGCATCTCTGTAGACATGCTGATGCACTTCAATAAGCGTGCAGATGAACAGTCAGCCTTGTCTTCCTCCAGAACCGCACAAGACACCACACTGCTGTTAGGTGTGGAATGACGTTGTTTATCTGCGTATGATTTTCTGTGGAAAAGTTGAGAACGAACAAAAACCCCTCCATATATTTTGCAGTGTGGCTGAATTCTAAACTGAAAAATCTTATTTAAAAAAATATCTTTGAGAGTTGAGAGTTTTTAGTAAAAGTCATAGTTGTGAAAGTCATCTCACAGTCTGAACACTGTGCAGTATTCTTTGTGTTTTGTTCTCTCTCTGTTGTACTTTAGAAGTGCTTGCTTCAGACAATAGCTGGCCATCCCCATTTTTTGAATAAAGGCTTTGGTAAGCACTCTCTTAAAGAACAAAAATATATTGTGTTGGCTATTCATGCTTATAGTTTCCCATAAGCATGAATGAAAAGGCATTTTTTGCTGTACAAATGTTTTGACTTGGATCTTTTTAAAAGTGATTTGAACATTCAGTTAAGATGCCAGTTGAAAAGCCAAATGAAGTCTATCAAAAGAGCGTTTCCCACAGTTGTCCACAAGATGGAGCCAGACCCTTGCTGTAAATCCTAGCATGTGCTGGAAATGACATTTCATGTCTTGTGTAATAGCTTGACACAAAACCTAGCTTTGATTTCAGTTGGCCTTTGCAAAATAAAGTCTCATTTCATGTAGATACAGTTTCTACTCAGTAAATGTTTTGTGCAAACATGTTGCTGAAGCCGATTCTCTGAGGCCTTTCTGTGAGGCCTTATCCAGATGTGAGAGATTATGCACATCTGAATAAAATTCTCAGATCAAGAAGCTCAGATCAACCCAACCAGCAGCATGGGTTCCTTCCATTTTCACCGTTCCAGTGATATTATGTTCTAATGTGGATGCATGCATACAATTAATTGAAAATATTCCAGATAATTGAACTGTTTTACACAACAGCGCTAAAAGGTGTTGAAAAGAATCATCATTGAATCCACATTACATAAGTGTTAATGATATCAGAAAAAAAGCGAGAGGATTTACATTGGAAAGTCTTGGGGGTGGTGAAAAACTATTTTTTATATGATTGTATGACAACAATGCACAGGGGAAAGATGTTTCCTTTACAGTCCTTCGGGATGATTGCACATCATTTTCCAACATCAATGTTGTCCCCAAGGTCCACAGAAGCCAACTACAGACATCCCATGCATGGATCAGAGATAATAAAACTAAATACTCTACAGTGTTATGTGCTTCGTAGTGATAGGCCTTCAGGAAATTTACAATCAGTCCAGCAAATACATTTGGGATCATTTTACAGCCCAACCAGATCATATCATGAGTCTGCTCCAAAATATGACCTGTCTGTTCCTGTTGTACATTTCGTGACTTGAAATCTCTGTGTGTAAAGTTCCATTACTCAATAAAGGTCTGGGGTTTCCCACTGGTTTCACAAATCCATACCTCTTTGTGATGAGGAGACTTTTTAAGTGAAAACAGAAGGCTGAACAATTACATACTATTAGGAACTTGGCTGCCAGTTTTTCCATCTTTCTCTGGCGATAGTGTTACACTCATACATTCAGAACAAAGAGTTATTAGTCTTTATTGTTAAGATTACCTTAAGGTTAGCAAGCAACTTTCTTTTGGACTCCGTAAATATTAATTCATCATAGAGAAGATTCGCTAAATAATATTTATGGTTGGTTCTGTTATTTATGATAGTAATTCGGTAGTTGGATTTATTTTTAATTGCAAGTTACAATGTGTGCAATGTGCAATATACAAATAGGCTTGTGCAATGTGGCTCCAGTTTTCAAATGCTGTAATCATTATGTTGATTACAGATAATTGTTTGTTATTGGATCTGTAGAATTTCTCATACCTGGCTGTGACTAAATGCGACAAAGGACATAAGACCATCTCAGTAAGTATATCTCATCTAGATATTTCTTTAGGGAAACATCCTCAAGTTAACAAGAATGCTTTGCATTATATATTTTTAAATACCAACTTGTAAATGTTGGACTAAAAACCTGTGACTTTTTTTTAAAAAACCTGTAAGGTCAGACATTTACTCATTAGACTCTGGAACGACAATTTTACAAAATCTGTGTCTGGAGCATTAAATACTGTAACGGAACAGTTCTTTCCAGACCCTATGCGGACGACACAATCCGAAGTAGTGAGGAAACACAGGGGAAAAGTCATGCAGGAATACAGGGATGAAAACAGGGGGGCGTGTCCAATGTGCGCTGGTGCATGGGGGAGGTGTGGCCGAGGCAAACAATCCAAAAGTATTCCAGACAGGGAATCCAAAAACAAGCTAGAGTCCATGGCCAGGCGATCCATCCGAAACAGGAGATTAAAATCAGGAACCGGGTCGGAACCAGCAGGGGGAACAGGAACAGAGACTTAAAAACATGACGGAGCCAGACTCATCGGGACCCGGGCTCAAACGATACCAAAATCAGATGCAGAGCCCGGAACTGACCGAGTGTCTGGCTTTTAAGGGGAACGGGAAGGAGGCTGGAACAAGGGGCAGGTGCACAGAATAAGTCCAAAGTGAAAAGAGCCGGATCGCCCTTAAGGAGGAGGGACTACAATCGTGACAAATACAATCAATTTTCATGCTGGTCTGGAGTACCATGGAGTAACATACATACAGTAATACAATGTATCAGTGTAAACAGCACATTCTTTCTCATTTCAAGGAAGTCAAGAAAATCACCCTAGTTGTACAACGGAACTTGGTTAAGCTGTAATTAGCATAAGTAGTAATTACTATTAGCATACACTACATAATTACTGCTGAGCAGCATCCTATCTTCTACAGTGATTTCCATATTGTTTTAGAAAGTGGACAAGATTCCTTGGAGTATTTGTAAAAGGCTTCACACTACATATCTCAAAATAACGCAAAACAACTTCACATATTCACATATTACAGGATTCCTTTAAATTAGAACTGCAATATTAACAATAAAGCTAGAGAGAAAACTAATCCTAACCACTGAATTTCTGAATCCTTGAGCTCAAAACACATCATTCCAAATTTTTTTAAATGTCTAGATTTTAAATAAATAACTGAAAGGAATTAGCGCTATTCCTTTGTGAGAAGCTAAGAAGTGCTCCTTAAATGTGTTTAATAACAGGCAAAGATCCAGACAAAAATCATGGTCTAGAAAATAAATCCAACCCCGTCATTTCAATCCAGGAGTGCCCCTTGAGTATGTCTAAGGGAGTGGTTCATCCTCTGTATACTGTACATTTCCCCCGAAGCATGAAGAGCAGATTAGTCCACATGCTAGTTAGGTGCATAGAGGCAGCAGTAAATCTGTAGCTTTGACCACGGGTTTCTGCACTAACTCACAAGGTGGAAGACGATTCAGTGAATTAATTCATTTCCTAAGATATAAGAAAGATCTTTAAAACTGAATGATCATACTTAATAAACTGCATTAAAAACAAAGCAAAGAACAAAACAACAAACAGAGCTTTATTTTATGCTAAAAGCAAAATACTATCTCAGTGTGTACAACAGTATACAAAGTGGTATAAAACAGTATCATTTAAGTCCAGTATGTCACATTATGTTAGTAATAGCTTTGCCTTGCAATTATTACAGGTCTCATTCTCTCAAATGCACATAAACATGCTTTAAAACATCTTTATGTTGACTGTAATCAAATACAATAATAAAACTGGATTTATACACACAAACACGCACATTATGTATATGTATGTACTGTAGGGTTACAGTTCAAGTTTATAATTACAATTAACAATGTAACAAAATAAACCTCTGCCAGGCCATAAGGAAGTGTGACAGCTACAGGCCACAGGACTTTTTCAGTCCTGCAGGACTGCAACTGAAAGAGACAAAAGACCGCAAAGCTCATATCGTTTTAAGAAAAAATTAAATCTGAAAAATAATTTAAAAAAAGGTGTGATGATACCGGGCTTGCTCCACAGAGTTAGTATGAGTGTACCGGGGTGGGGGGAGTGGTTTCCACGGCAGCAGGAGAGCCCGCGCACGCCCCCTCCACCGGCCCCGGCCCTCAGCCCTTCCCTCCAGCAGCAGGAGCCGAGCCGCTGGCTGGAGACTTCTTCAGTTCAATTTTCATCGACTGGCTTTCCGCCCGCGACTCTAACTTTGTCACACTCGCGGCCCCCGGGGCTCCCGCCGCCGGTTTCCCCGCTTTCATACCTTTCGACATGGGGATGCGTGTGGGGGCGGGCCGAGCCAGCTGTCCGTCCTGCCCTGGCTGAGGTGAAGGGGAGAGAGAGAGAGAAAGAGAGGTGTAAACGAGTGTTAAAGGCCAGTGAATTAGAAAACAAAACAGTTGCTACTGTATGAAACTCATCTGAAATCACAATGGATTGCCTGTTTTTAAGTGTAACGAAAGAACTGGAACGGTCTAATCTAGCATTTCTTGATGCTGTGGTTAGATTTTCCTGATAAGGATTTTTTAAAAAATCTTTAACAAAACTTAATCTACGAAATACAGTACAATAGTGTACCTCACCAGCACGACCTATGAAGAAGGAAGTGTTGCTCTCAGTGCTGTGCTGGGAGAGTATGTCCATAGTGTGTGTACAGGACGGCCCAGCGAAAACACCACAGAGAAGAGACGCGGATAGAAAACACAGCTCTACTCCATATCCCATCAATAAAATAAGAGAAGGCAAGCCATGCACTTCACAGACAAAACCTTAATAATGAACCAAAAACCAAAAAACCTGCAAGGGGGGAAAAAAAACAAAAAAAAAACCTTCCCCAATTCCAACCAACCGGCCAACCCCCCCCCCCGCAAAAAAAAAAAAAAACGCAAAAAAAAAAAAAACAATAATCCGGGGCCCTTAATAACAAGCCTTGGAAAGGGAAACGGGCCCACAACAAGAAAAATATCTATAAAAAACACACACAACACTACACTACACAGAGACACCAAAAAAGAGAAAAAGGGAAACGGGAAGTTGGGCCAACAAAAAAAAAATGAATCCAAACTTTTATATTAATCACTGGGAGTAGCTTCTACTGAGTCTGATACGCATGTCAGTACATTCCAGTGTTAGTATATGTAATACAATAAAAAGTGTATTCAATTCATCTATACCTGGTAAGTGAGCTATCTAGGGAGCAGTCGCCACCTGATATCATTTTGAAACATTTCAGTAGCAACTGAAATATAGAAGGTTTAAAATAATTATTTTTCTATGCAATAATGTATTGAACAATAAAAACTCAGTCTCGCATAACAAAGAATATCATGGAATACAGGGAGTTGATTACTCTGAGAGGGTTTGGATGTGCGTTTATTTTTATATAACAAAATCTAAAATTTACAACAAGATTTTCTTTCATTCATTTGACACATTTAGGAATATAGGTTTATCTGATTTGTTTTGTTCTAATTGTTGCTAAGCTGACAACTTAGCATTATAGCACTCTAAGTGTAGTTTCCATAACACCTTTTGTTCCTTTAATTCTAATTCCAAATTAATTACAACTGATTGAGGTTTGGACACCAAATTCATTTTATGTATATACTATTGCTATTTGCACCTACTCTAACCCTGATAGACCCCATGTTGTACATAAGCAATAATATCATGACATTAGATTCTTCTCCCTCAGTTGGGTCAATACTTGGGTCTTATGGAGGTCTGTAGAAAAACTTTGCTCAGGAGGAAAGCATTTTGAAAATCACCTAGTAACTGTTTATGGAGTACGTGAAAATACAAATATTTTTGGAAGATTAGCAGAAGAAGTACAGGATGCACTTTGCAGTAACAACTCAAAAAGTACTTTTCTAAGAGGTGCCTTTGAGTATCTAGGCTCCCACAACTCACCAAAGACTGTGTCGGTCTTGGAGGCGCCGAGGAGAAAGGCGTTATGGTGATGCTGCTCATCACTTTGCTGGTGGGTGTCTTGGGAGGATTGCTGTGGCGAGGAGAACGCAAGACAGTCCCTGTGGCAGCTTCTTTGCTTTCAGTCATCACGGTGACAGGCCTGACCGTGATCGTGGGGTTACTGTTTTCTGACAAAGTGCTCACAGGCCTCTTAAACTGCGACCCCAAGTGGATATGAATCTTGTTGTCCTCTGTTGTGATGATGTTGGCATTGGAGTTGTACTTCCTGATGGGCGTGGGAACGGTCTGTTTCTCGGGAGTCACTTTGAAAACCGCTCTTCCCATGGTCATCTCTTGAGGTTCTGGTGAGACCGAGACATCTGGCACAGCTGTTGTACTGACAGTCATAATCTGAATGGGGGACATTGGCCTGTCTGTAAAAGATGCCCTGCCTCTTTCAGGAGATTTAGCCCTGGAGATAGTTGTGATCGTAACGGGGGACATGGCCCGGTCAGGACTCACAGTGCTTTCATTTGGCCTGCTTTTTGGAGAAACCGTGTTGCTTGTAGGAATGATTGTAATGCGTGGCTTTTGCAGTCCTAAGGTGGGAATAACTGTAGTGCTTGAAAAGAAGTCCTCTGACGGTGGACTGGTTATCTCCAAAGTTGCTGTGCTGTTTCCATGATCTGGAGTGACCCTAATATGCAGTGGTTGCCCTGGAGGTTTTGAAACTGCTATTTCAGACTGTGTAGACTCGACCTTAGTTTGGGATGTTTTTTCTGGGCCGTTGTGGGAAAACGTGTCTTTTCTCTTCATCCAGGGGATCCAGGACTTCCTCATGCTGAGCTCACTGGCAGCTGGAGGATAGCGGTCAAGCACAGCTGGCCTCTCCATGGGCTTCTTCAGCCCTCTTTGCCGCAGGTTGCTCATGATGTGGTTCTCTTCCTGAACTGACTTCCTAATGAATACAGCGGGTGTTTCCTCCTCACCAGTTTCGTTGGCTATCACGTCAGTCTGTACTCCGGTAGAAGTCATAGGAATATCTACCATTCTTCTTCCATTCATGCTGGGCCTAAGAGCACGACTGTACCTTTTGGCGATCTCAAGCTCTTTGGTAAGATTGATAACTTCTTGGCTCATGCTTTTCTTTTTATTTTCTTCTTCAATAAACCTCTGCTGAAGAACAGAATAATCTACCTGCAACTGAGAAAGCTGGTCTTCCTTATTCATCAAGTCATGGATCTTTTCCTTGAGTGCTTGAACATCATTCTGTAGGTCTCTCGTTTTTGCCTCCTCCAGCTTACATCTTTGACGTAACTCTGCCTCTTGACTCTCTGCCTCTCCCTTTTCTATCGCTTTATTTCTGGCAATCTGACTCTTCATTTCTTCAAGCTGCTGAGAGAGCACGTTAGCCTTGTCCTGTTCAGTCCTGAACTTTTTCTCCAGCAAGTCATATTCATCCTCGGTTTTAATGAGATCACCTTCTACGACCTCCAGCTGCTTCAGACGATTTTTCAGTCTTTCAATTTCCGATGTTAGCTCTTTCACTTTATTGTCATGTTGTCCAGATGCATCTGCAAACCTGCCTATCTCCTTTTTAAGTCTACTTCTAGCTGCTTCCTTTTCAGCCTCTTCTAACGCATCCAGCTTCTTTTTCATCAGGCTTACCTTTGAGCTCAAATCCTTAGACTTTTCCTCTTCAGTAGCAAGTTTCATCCTCAGTTCATCTTTCTCTTTTGTGAGAGTGCTCACCTTAACTTCCATTTCAGATTTCAGCTTGAGAAGCCTCTTGCTCTCCTCTATAAGTTTTTCAGTGACTTCCATCACCTTTCCTTGTTCAGTCTTAAACATATTATTCAAATCATTGCTCTTCTTTTCTTCTTGTTTAATCCGCTCTGACATATTTTTCCTCTCATCCACCAACATTACCGTAAATGACTTCAGCTTTGTCAGGTCGTCCTTTAAGCCCATCTCAGCCTTTTCCAGTCTGGATTCAGAACACTCAAGATCTTTCACCCTACCTTTAACCACTTCCAACTCACTGGCTAAATCTTTTGTCAAGTTCTTTTCTCTTTCCAAGCTAGCATGCAACTGTGTGCATTCTGATTTGCTAACATTGAAAGCCTCTTCCAACTTTTCCAGTTCTCCCATCCTCTTCTGAAGTTTTTCCACTTCAAGCTTTAACTCCTTGCTGTGGTTCTCTTCGTCTTGGAGTTTTTTCTTTAGCTCCCTGCACTGAAACTCTGTTTTAGTTATCTCTTCATCTTTCCCCTCCATTTCCAGGACTCTCTTCCGGAGATTCTCCAGCTCTGCCATCAGTGTTGAATTGCCACATTCTCCTTTGCTGATTTTGTCTCGCAGCTCCTGCAGTTCCTCCTCTGCTTTCTGCAGAATTCTGTTTGCGTCCTCCAGTTCCTCAATCCTCCGAGTCAGGCTGGCCAGTTTCAGGCGCAGCTGGTGATTCTGGGACTCCCGATTGGCTAGCTTCGCTGTCATCTCCTCATGCTCCTGTACAAATTTTGCAACTTTGTGCTCAAGTTCAACCTCTAGCTTCAGTTGTTTTTGGTTGTCCTCCTTTGCTTTGGCACTGGCCACTTTCAGTTTTTGCTCCTTTTCGTGCAATTTCTGGTTTAGATCATGAAGTTTTTCGGCTTGTTGATCGATCTGCTCAATATGGATTTGCCTTTCGTCCACCAGCATCAGTGCAAAAGATTTCAGCTTCACCAGTTCCTCTCTTACTTTTTCAAGACGCCTGTTGTTCTCCTTTTCCTTCCGGGCCTGGTAGAGCTTTTCTTGTTCCAAAAGCCTCTTCAGTCTGAAAGGGAGGGAGGGCATGTTATTTCAATAATTATTCTCTTTAAGGCCATACCATGCCACATGTAGACCCTTTTGAAGTAAACAGATTTAAATAAAAATAATAAAATGGTAAATCTGAAAAATGTTCTGCTAAAGTCAATTCAAAACGATCAAAATACAGGTCAATGCCATTTAATATTAAAGCTTTGTGGAAACCTGAAAAAAGCAATTTACTATCAGCCAACTATCGCAATGAAAAGCAGTATACTGTATGTAACCAGACAATATCAGTGGACTGCGTTGTGTGACATCAAAGAACAGCCCTCCGTGAATTGAAAATTTCAGTCCTTATCCTGCCCACACCCATCACAGATAAACTGTGTCCATGACACACCGTTGCAAAATATTCTGCAAAAAAAGAAAGAATGATCCTCCCCAAATCTCTTCTTCAAGTGCTTTTGTAAAAGAAAAGTATCTGTTTATTTTGCAGGCGATACATTTTTTATCTTTTTTCCCTTAAAGGTTTCGCTTTATCACAACATTTTCATTCTGATAATGCAATGAAATGTATGAAATGTCTCTTAAAAGTGCTGTATTTACACTGTTTTAAATTCTTTAGGTTTTGCATTTTTCTCAGATGAAGTACTTGGGAAAACAACGTGTATTTTCATCTCTCATTTTAAGTTATGCACCACTAACTCTTTTTAAAATAATGAAAACGTGTCAGCATCTGTCATAACAAATGTGTGTGCAGAGAAATGTGTGAGTTTGGTCATAAAAGGCACAGAGGCTTTACCTTTTTGTATATAATAACCTCAATGGTTTATTATAATCTACACACTTCGTTTAACATCACCAGTTGTTTCTTTCAAAGCTCTGCTAACAGCACCTCCTGTCCTGTCCTGTGCATAGAGAGACCAGAAAAAGGGGAGGAATAAATGACAGGCCCCTCCCACCTGCCACCTTATTCAGCCAATCATCTTCCGACGTGCCGTGAGTCTGGTTCAGCAATGACAACCAAAAACCTTATGGCTCAAGCACAGATTCTCTCTCTGTGGCTCGCGATTTGCATACTTGTTTACCAGTTAGTGCATACTCAGCAGGCAGTGACCACTTTGGTAGAGGTGTTTGAAATGAATCTACCCTATAATAAGAAATATTGTGTCTTTCCATTAGTCTCAGTTATAAGAAGAAGTTGAAACATGGGTTAAGGTGTGGCACATTTATTATAAACTGCATGAAATATTGTCTTTAAGAGTGAAACACAGGCATTTATAAACCAAAACCATGAATGAACAAGCATAATAAATTGAAGTCTCACTCTTTAGCAATTTAAATTATGTGGATTTAGATTGTTTAACATTTGTATACTTTGTGTACTACTAGGAGTATATTCTTTTCAAGCAGCTTTTAGGTCCAATTCCGTAAGAGTATATGATGTGTGTAGACTATGCTCAGGAACGTAGTGCCGCAATGTAATGGTGTCACAGAAAAGAAAAAATTGTCACAAGTTTTACCTGGACGAACCTAGGTTTCCCAGGTTTAAACAGAACTTACCTGCCTCAAGTAGTTCAAGTTCTGAGAAGCTTCCTGCAGCTTTTTGATTGAGAGTGGAATGTTTACCCACTTACAGCCTACAATTGTAATTGTAAGTACTGAAAGCTGCTGGAGGTAAAGTCATCCACAGCTAGTAAAATAAATCAGTTATTTTCTTTGGCAATAGCAAATAAACTTTAACTTGTATTAGTCCAGGATTTACAGTACATACACTAATTCATTCATACACATTTTGTAGTGAGCTGCCGCTGTGATTTTGACCACTAACACGTTTATATACTGGACTCATATTAATATACGCAGATTCCATAATGCTGTATTTACATGTGTCTGTCGAATTTCCATTACAAGAAATAAAGGATCTTCACTGCAAAGATTGTGCCCAACAGTGAGCGAGTATTGTACTGCAAGCTGGGATGTAGTGCAGAGAAGCAGAATAAATTAAAAAGGCATGATAGGAGAAGGAACAAAGGGGGTCAGATTAGAAACTGAACTCTCATGTGATTCTCAGACTGAGGTTACCATGCTTCTTGCACTTGAATGAACATGAAGCCGTAATAGCAGAAACATGCCGCCGTGCCAAACAAAGTGGTCGCCCTGTTTTTGTTCCGTTCAGATCGTCACCGAAACTGAAATGCATGTGAATGATTTACTCTGCCTTTGAGTGCGTGCCTCTTTCTCCACTGAGTCTGCCCCTGTCCTTTAAATCATGCGAGGTTTATACTGTAGTTCAAGTTCACGGATAGCACACTCATGTGTTGAATCTTCAAGTTCACGAACTACAAAGGTTCAGTGCTGCTGCCTTCTGTTCATTACACAAACACATAATGAAGACTTTTAGTGCTGCAAGAGACACAGATATATTTTTGCCACAAGGCACAGCAGCTGCAGAAGCATTAATCCTAAAACTTGTAGTAACTTTTTGCATTCTTACCTTCTACACAAGATGCATTGCAGGTAAGTCCATGCCTAACATGTTTTGAAATGTGCAAACACTGTGCTGGAGAGACTTTGGCAGGGTCGATTTGGGCCCCTACTCCACAGGGAATTAGCCATCACATTCCAACCATGTCATCAGAACAATGAAAGGTGAATGTTGTGTAAAATAGCACTGGACCACTCTGTGATGATGTCATCCTTTCCATATAAGGAACAGCTCTAGTTTGGACAGCAAGGGGAGGGACTCTCCAGTGAGGGGGAAGGCGTTTTTATTTATTAGTTAACTAGCATAGGTTTGAAACAAATACCCTCTTCACAACAGCTTCTTTGTGGCAAATTAATAGACAAAGTAAAAATAAAATTGACGTAAATCATTCCCCGTATTGTAACTCATCTATTTCTGTTAAAAGTTGCCCCAACTGGGGATACAGAAGAAGTATAATGGATTTGTGAGATATTGCTTTAGGAATCATGATAATTGTACGTAGATCATAACTTTGCAAATCAGAATTATCATTGAGCAGGACCTTGAACTGTTATATGACAGTCAGACACATACAAAAGCATTTAACACTGAAAGGTCAACAGCAATAATTTAAAAAATGTTCTTGATCATTAAATACGAGTGATTAAAATCATTTTATTTTTGTCACACAAATATACACCTTCTGCAACTCATTTGAGGTGCCCCTACAATAAGTAGAAAAATGTGCCAGAATTTTTAATGATAAAACCACAGAGCCTGTAATATCACCGTAGAATGGCAAAGGCGCCATCAAGAAAGATCTGTTGGGTACAGATATGTAAATTATTCTATAATTTATCATTTAAGACTTATTCAGACAAATCAAAAACACATCTTAATGTAACCCACTTACGTTTTGTTACAGGTTTCTCATATACTGTAGATTTGAAAGCAGTTTAAAAGTTAGCACAAAAAGCCCTGCAAATGTACAAGGTATAACATACAAGATTTTCTAGTCAAACAGATTTTAAAATAAATTAGATTTTGCAAAATTCCAGTATTGTTTAACCTTAAATATAAAGAAATGAGAAGATCCATGTTTTGTCATATGTACATAAATATAGGTAAACATGAGGCAGGGATTATAACTCTGATAACCATATTGGTATAGAAGGGGATTAAGGTGATGTAATGTGACAGATATGTTGAATTTTGTAAAAACATCAAGACCACTTAAAATAAAATGCCAAACTGCAGAAATATGTAATGAATATATTTCCATTGGCTAACCAAAGACCTAGAAGGGATTTAATAGTCAAACTGAAGAGGTGAGGTTTAGATATCAGAGGCCACACATATTTTCCAAGATTTTATTGCAGAGCATGTTGCAGACAACCATTTTTTCCAAAAAATAAATTTAAAATAATAAAGTGCCTCCAAAACTATTTCTGAAACTTTCTGAGCAAATCATTTCAATGCTTTGATTAATAGCCATCATTTATGGTACTTTCAAAAATGAAAAAAATGCAAATTTTGTGCTGAGGCAAACGTTTTTGTTTCTTTTCATTAAGTCTGCTGACAGCTTTTAAGACATATTACAAATATGCTATTATAATCGCTATTATAATGTAGTTTTGTCTTTTCATTTTCTGTCTTCTCAATGTTAGGCACCATTAACACATATTGATGCTCAGGAATGACCTTGTTCTATAATAACACTCCCAGAAATCAAAGACATGTTGTCAATGTAGTCAGAAGTCACAAGGGGTGTCAAATGTCAGATATGTACACCTGACCTTTAAACATTTGGCTAATTGTCAGAAAAAAGAAATTACCCATAAAAGCATAATGTGTTCTTTGGATCTCCTACAAGTGGATCATGATCTTTCTAGAATAAACTTTATTCAAAGCACATGAATCACAATAGTGCCATCAGGTTTATTTAAAAAAAAACTTTCCATATACTGGAATGGACTGAGAACACTGAGGCCATCTACATGAAGGGCCAGAGCCAACTTTACTTCTTGAGAAGGCACAGGTCCTTCAATGTGTGTACTAAGATGATACATATGTTCTATCAGTTGGTTGTGGCGAGCGCCATTTTCTACACGGTGGTGTGCTGGGGCTCTGGGATTAGAGCAGGGGATGCTAACAGGCTGAACAAGCTCATCAGAAGAGCAAGTTCTGTCATTCGCTCTGATCTGGACCCCTTGGAGGTGGTGGCCGAGAGGAGAATGGTGTCCAAATGAATGACCATCATGGACATCCTCTCTATGACATGCTTGTGAGAACTAAGAGCATGTTCAGCAATAGGCTGATCCAACCATGGTGTGACAGAGAGCGCTATAGAAGGTCATTCTTGCCTTCTGCCATAAGACTGTACAACTCATCCACTGTGTGTCTGGGCAGGGGCAACATTGACATTGACCTGTTTTTGTACTAAACATGAATTCTCTGTTTACAGCTGGTTTTCCTGTTTACAATGATTTTTGAGCAATACATGCTGGGGATTTGTGCGGTATATTTACAAGATGCAATACATATTTTTGTGGACTGTACATTCTGGCTTGTTTTGTATCTTCTGTACTGTGAGCAATTCTGTATACTCCATTTTTAAACTTTCTACTGCACTTCTCACCGACTGTACTTACTGTATTGTATTGTTGTATTATTGTATCGCTTCGTTACACTGTGTTGTTTTGATTGTGCCAGTTGTACTGCAATTTCCCTCATGGGATAATAATCGATCTCTTTATCTCTCTATCTTTCTATTTAGTTTTGCCACAAATACCTTGCTAAATTTAAAAGTGTTTCCAAACAACACGCTGAGATTCTTGAGAGTCGTAATCACTAAGCCACATCAAAGGAACTTTAAATCTATTCTAATTTGTGCATTAGATTTTCCCAAGTCAGCCACAGCTACCAGAGCACTTTATGACATTTAGTGGATGTTGGAAAGAAGTGCACACTAGAATTCAACCTAATGCCATTCTACGCTGCAGGATGTCTGGTACATGCTATTGAGTACTGCAAAGAACTGTAAGAATATCAAACGTACATGAGCAGGCATGTATTTTAGAGCACATTCTGATCAGTCCCCCTTTTTCTCAATGGGATACACAAACCTACTGTACATATTTCATGGATCCACTTACTTACTTTACACTACCACAGATCCCACATGTGCCTGCTCTGCCTTCAAATGCCAAGGATTTATTGACTGAACTTTGCCGAGTGTGAAATGTAAGGTTTTTATTCTAATGATACTCTTGTACTTATTGTAATGCTAGATATAATTTTGTGAGTCTAAAAAAGTTAGCTCAGCCATAGGCAATAGTAATAATTCATCGATCTATCCAATTTCTGTTTCATCCAGTACGGAGCTGCAGAGGAGCCAGAGCCTGTCCCAGCAAGCAACAGGCACAAGGAGGGCTACACCCTGTGTGGGGCACCGGTATGTTGGAGAGCTCACACAGACACAGACACACTCACACCACGGCCAAGTTCCCCAGAAGCCAACCAGCATGTCCTTGGACAGTGGGAGGAAACCATAGCACCCACAAGAAACAAGGGGAGAACGTTCAAACTATACCCAAGATAGCACCCAAGGTCCAAAATTGAACCCTGGGCCCCAACACTCTGAGGCAGCAATCCCAACCAAGGCGCCACTGTGCCACCCTTTTAATGTTTACGTAAATTTCTATTTTGCAGTGTGGTTTTTATTCATGTTGTCTTATGTTTATGTAGTATAGTTTGTATTAAGCAGTTATGATGGTGTTAAAGTCTCACTTAAGTATAGAGTAATCCAATACATCACAGTACAGTACAGTACCTCTGCAACAACAGATTAATTAAATTAATTTAGTGTTTTGATCTGGGAAAAGGTATTAAAATGTATCTACCATAATCCTGCCAATTAAACTACAACATTGGCTAGAGGAAGAAAATCTGGAACAGGCTGTGGGAGTTAATTAGAATACGCAGTGGCCTGGGAAAATAAAATTAGTACCATTTCTGTTCCAAAACCGAGTGAACAATGTACAAAGGATTCTTATTTGCTGACTGATGGATGCAGTTATTTGAATTAAGGAGACAGATGTATTTGAAAAATTAAACTTCATTCAAAACGCACTTTAATAGGAGACATTTTGTAAAGGCAAGGGAAATAAAATCACATTGGGAGTCTGCCGTGTAAGTTAATATTTTTATTTAATATTTTGCTTCAGGGTGGCCATAATATTTTTAATGCTTAGTGGTGGCTATTGGCTACTAAACCATTGCACACCACAGCATAACAAACTAAAATCTAAAGTCCATGTACGAAGGCACGCAGAAAGAAGACTGGGATTCAGTTCCATGACTATCGTGTCTACCATGTTTCTTGTAATATCATCTCCCTTCAGAATGGTCACAAATTAAAAGGGCACCATTTGGACCTTAAAACTGTAATTAAACCAGGAACCATTCTCCCAGGATGAAATCTCCTTGTTACCTTTCTGGAATGGAAATACAGGAAGAACATGCAGACTCCACACATAACTGGGGCCCCAAGGTGGAGGTGAACTTGGGAGTAGAGACGGTAATACTAACCATTGCACTGCCCTGTTAGCTCTATAGGACATCTCTTATTGTACAGCTTAGACACTTCAGACACCACCAATAGACAACCATACCCTTAAACGCTCAAAACATGAAGCTCAGAATCTGCACATCCTCACTGGAATTCTTTTCAACACACCTGTTCATCACTTGAACATGTGTGTCAGTGGCTACAAAATTATATCTGGCATGATGTCCTGATGTACAAAAACAAGAGTAATGCATACAGTTGTGAGAGAATAAAATGATAGATGTTTGTACCTGGATCTACACTATTAATACATCTGGTATTGAGAGAAGGTGGCCGTGTAACGTTTCAGGGAGGAAGTCCGATAGTGGTTTTGATGTTTAGTCAGACTGTACTCCTCGTATTGCACTGAATTGAAATGGAAATTGCATTGGAGCCACAACAACAGTACTTGGTGTGACCAACATTGTTTGGTCACAATATTTTTTTGTACAAAATGTTCAGTTCATTTTTTTTAACTGGAAAACGGACAAGAAAAAACTATCAAAAGCCCAAGTCTTTGGAACACCCTCATGATTTTACAGCTGCTGCTAAACCATCGGGGGTCATTAAGACCTGTATAGTTACAGAGTCTATTGAAAGCTTGAAGCTGGGTTAGGTCCCAATAAATACAAGTGAGAGATGGGATATGCAGAGTGTATTTAGTGTCGCTTACCTGGCTGGAGGAACTGGCATTTGGTAAGGATGAGGCTCCTCGGTCTCCCCTCAGGTTGTGAGGAGTGAGCCACAGCATTGCTGCAGGAGTGCAGATGGGGTGTCAGGTGGGATATGGGATCATACTCAAGCGAGTGGAAGTGTCAGAAATTAGGATCCACCCTTACTCCCGAAATTGTATTAGAACTTTTTTATAATTCCATTTGTGTGTTGATTCACTCCCAGAGAAGTCAAAACAAAATAATGTACTCATCTTTAGATCCAACAACAGAGGAATACCAAGAGGCCTCTGCATAGTTGTTCAAATCCAATATTTACATCAATAGGCTATGTTTTAATTCTCAAGTTTTGTATTGCCATTATTTCTAAATTGTCGATAACACACTGTGACAAAATGTAAATGCCGTGGAACTATAAATAATATTTTGTCATTTAAAATGTAACAATAGTGATTGGTTTAACACACTTCAGTTTATTTTACAATGTGGTGACTGAGTCACAGTAATTAACACCTTTTAATGTGCATCTCTCCTGTGAACAATGCATTTCTGTTGTGTACGAAGCAAAGGTAAATGGAGATTTTGGTGTGTTAAACATTAAAGTATGAGCCACGAAAGAAAGAGTAAGGTTTTGTAATCTACATGACAAACAAATTTAAAAAATGTTTCAGTAGTAGGACTCTTTAATAAAATAATTCTTTATTTCTCCCTTTGCAGGTGATCAGAGGCCTTTCATGACATCACCACAAAAGCAGCCAGAGTCCTGTAATACTAGGGTGACTGAAGCACAGAGGAATGTATTATCACAGAGTGGTGAAAGATCAGAATATTCCTGTTGGGGGGGGGAAGGATGCACTCAGAAAACTGGAAAAACCCATGTAGGAGAGAGGCCGAATAACTATACCCGTGAGCTCACATTTTTAAACACAACTTTAAAATAAAACTTAAGCCCAAATCCGACACACTCTTTACCAATCAAAGACATTTCTACTCTCACCCTTGAGATGCTCATCTGAAAAAGCATTTTTGTGAGATTATGTATTTGAAACATGGAGAAACCTATAAACTAATAAGATTAAATACTTCCTTCATAATGTGCTTTTTAAGTGGCACACATGTGCAATGCAATATTGGATATAAACTGAATTAGATTTACTTTTCTTGGCTATTCGTAGACCATCAAAAATAAATGTAATAAAAAACAACCATTGATTTGAAGACCTGATATCTCTACAACAGATTGAACAGCATAAAACCTTAGTGAACGTTTATTGTCTTTTGTAACAAGAAAAACTGTATAGATCTTACTTGGCTTAGCAAGGGCAGAGGTCAGATTGTATGATTTAAAATGTAGGTGGGGCAATTATTTTAATCTGCCATTTATTCTTTTATCAAGTCAATAATGTTTGTAATAAAGATGTTTTCCAAACTATTAAAAATATGGTACATGCACTTGGTAGAAAACAGTGTTGATAGTACTTGGGAGTTTTATTGCAGCTGTTTCTTTAACAAGCTCTGGTAGCCTGATTATCCCAGAGAATGCCATATTTGCAATTCCTCTCTCAACAGGGGGAAATGGAGTGTAACAAAACTGACTCACAGCTGGAGATATGGTCAGCAGAAGCAAATGCACTTCACTGGGATAACTACCAAAGCTGTCGAGGCTTAACATAATCCCTTGTTCTTTTAGTTTTCAGAAATGGTGGCGTGGTTACCAAACACATATTAAACGGGTTCAGATAAATTGGTGTATTGAGCAATATAAATAATCTCATGACAAAAATATGACAGAGTAACAATTTTTATTGCTTCCCTACTCTGGCAACCATTACTGGAAATGAACATCTTTCTGTTGATGGAAGAAAAACCTACATTCAGCGTAAGTACAGGGCGTAGTTGTCCGGTTACAATAAGGCAAAACGAATTAACCTAGTAAAATAGTACAAAACTAAGCACAAATGGTACAAGCAACATAAATGCTGTGCAAATAAAATAGTAAGGATTAAGTCGGCATATACACTGTGGTGACTTTTTGATCGTTGAGTATCCTTTCATGATTCACACCAACTTCCACAAGCTTTGATTAATCTACAGAAATCACATTCTGCGTGTCCTTCATCAGACTGAGTTACGTTAGGCAGACTCCAGTTGTGTCCTAGCTTGTCAGGGTTTTGAATCTGTGCCATAAGTCTGGAACACTGCTGCACAGCATGCATCTTCATTTCAGCACAAAAATGCCAATAACAGCGAAAACGTAAATGACGGGGAGCTGTGCAGATAACAGCAGCTTCTTGAACAATTTGGGGCTGCTGCATGGAGCTCCCCACTTACTCATGAGGATGACACTGAACCCTTAACAGGGATATGACCAGAGGCATGCCTCAGATCTTGTCTTATGATAAACTACGTTATAATCCACAGCAGTGCAGCCTTTTGTGCTTTTTTATCTCCCGTACACTAGCCTACTCCCACTGTGTACCTGTTGAAGGGAAACGGGTGGTCTTTCATTCTAGATATTTGTGATTGTTAGCTGCGTTCTGTCAGTTTAGAGTAGAAGATGGAGTTTTGCTTTTATTTAAATTCTGAATTCACAAACCCGGTAGATTCCAATATAAAGATTTCCATTTCTATTACACAGCTCAAAAGGTGCTACAGACAAAATGGTTTGGAAATGATTTCTTCAACTCCTGTATATTTTCTGGGTACTGCTTTATATATCATCACATCTTCTTTGCAGCTAAGAAATAATTATGAACTCTATTCAGTAGGAGGTCTATATCCAAACATGCACCTCCATGCACCTAGTCACTGCACACTAAGATTAACTGACTTACTCAATCATTTTTGCTGGAATGTAAAAATTGGTCAATTTTTTTCAATGAAATAAAAACATGTCCATGTGTGCCTTTCAGCTTTTACTCCATCGTTCAGAAAGGTGGAGTAAAAAGCTTAAAAATCCTCCTGTAAGTATCCACTCAAGCCGGTGCTTCACCGGTGCCGGTGCTTCAGAAGGGAGAAAAAAGCCAAGTTCTCACCTCTCTCTCTCCTGCTCCAGCAGGTTGGTGAAGTCGTCGCTCTTGTTCATGTAGTCTGCGTGTTTGCGCTTTTCGCTCTCCAGCTCGTTCACAGTGCGCCGGTGGCATTTTTCCGCCAGAAGGAGCTGTTCCAGCATGCGGCGGTAGGTCTCTCTGTGCTTGTCTTCCAGTTTGTCCAGCTGGAGACGAGAAAAGTCAAGTCTCCACTTTTCCCTGTTCAAATGTGGACTCTTTTCATTGAATTTAAATGTATACCATGTTACACTGTACTTCAGGTGTCTTTCAGGACTAAACGCTTCTATTATTGATCACATGAGCTTTCACCTGTTTAGTATATGACCAAAACAATAGGGTCCTACTAGCTCCTGCCCTGTGGCAACATAATACTAATGCTAAAAATAAAAACCTATAAATAATATGTTTGATATTCATATTATGCCATATACCATATTAACAAATAGATTTAACTTTGACTTTCACTTCTTGCATGGGTATAAGCTGTATATTTGCACTCAAGTAGCATTGCACAAAGGAGTTTGAGAAGCTCTTTACAGTTGAACTGGTCAGATTCAGTGGAATTGTATTTCCACAACAGTACCTCTGCTATGGGCTTCTCATACACATCGTCCCCAGTGGATTTGGACTTGGCGAGGAGAGCGTCTCTATACAGGGCCCGCAGAGCCTTGTCTGGGACCGCTGAGCCATAGTGCGCTTCTAGCACCTCGGATTTGGTCTTCTCTGTCTTCAGCATGTGGATAAGATCCTCTCGAGCCTGTAGGACGCAACATAGAATGAACACGTTTCCTCCACCCAGACACGAAATACGGGAGGTGGCAGAGAAAATCCGAGAACTGCAGAATTTCATTTTCTCTAGGTTTACAGCTAATATGATGCGGCCATCTGAAGCGAAGATGCCCACTTTGGTAAATATAAACTGTTGATATTTCATATATTCCTCAGATAATTCCTGATGTAATATGGGGGCATGTGTTTAATCATTTAGATTACAATAAACTGAGATTTTTCAAAACTACCTACGTCATGTATACTACTGTATTCTAGACATAAACCACTAGATGGGGCTGATCCACGAGGCCTGGAAAGGTAGGTTTTGGAAATCCCACCTTTTTCCTCAAAAACATTATTCTTTCTTCAGGACAGCAGTGGGGTTTATAACACATGTTCGGGAGGATGTTTAGTTGCTAATTTCAAACTCTCCCACTCTTCATATATGTCTCGTATCCAGGTCTTCCCTTCAGATAGTTCTTTCGCATCCCTACTGCCGCCTCATCTGCACCCTTGCAGCAGCTCCCTGGCTCATTCCTCACACTAGTGAGGAGGGGTTTGGGCTGCCATTCCCTCAGCTAGGCGAGTCATGCCAAATACTTTTTACATATTTCATCCCACTATTGCATGAGCCGAGAAGAAAATGCAAACATGAAGATGTACTGCTCTGCATCATCAGTGAGGTTCACAGGAACCGGAGCCAATTCCAAAAACAAAGTCCCTGGTTGGGACTTTCTAATTGTTATTCTTGCTGTTAGTGCCCCTGTTAGTGCCCCTGTTTTTAGTTGTTGTCATTACTATGTCCTGTATACTGTATTGTAACGCATACAGCCGACATTGCAGGTTGTGTGAGCCGGCTTGGCAGCACGGTGACGTCACTGCCCTTCCCTGTGAATAGCAGGGACCGCAGCTGCTGGGCTGAAGGGAGATCTCCCTTTAGCTCAACTGCCTGGTGTAACGAACAGTTCTTTC